AAATATAGAAGAATTAGACCAAGGGGAAAAACGACATTATTTAACCTGATATTCCTCTGAAAAAGTATGAAAACACGAATTTTTAATTAGAGGTTTCAAACTAGGACAGCAGTGTTCCCCACAATTTTATCCAAGTTAGCTCTTTTTGAGGGTAAATTTGATTAATGAGAGGGGTTTCCCTCTCTTGTTTCCTTTTTGCCCAGTTTAAATTTTGTTTCATGTTGTAAAGAACATACTCTAGCAATCACATTTTCCAAATTAAACCAATTACTGAGCACCAACTTTTCCCTCCTGGAGAAGGTCTGGCATTGTGTTTTGCTAACAGAGTATAACATGCATAAAATGCAGTTTTAACTTTTGCACTGCTGTTTTCAGTCATTTTTACAAAAAGAAAAACCACTACAGGGAGGTATAAACTTAAACTATACACACACACAACTTTTGCTTCCCTGTATGGGTAAAAAGATCAAATCTGCTTGGAAGGCACTCCTTCAGTGTAAAATTCTGTTTGTCTCTTCGCTACACCAAACAGTCAAAATTCATACACACAACAACAAAAACAATCCAGCCCTTTTGCACTAAGAGATCTTTTGTAAAATTCTGCAGACAGAGAGCGTGGGGTGCTTTTCACCTCAGCGTGTGCAGTTTGTAGGAAATCCGACTCGCCCCCCTTGCTTTCTAGACACGGCTCACTCTTTTGGGAGTGTCGGGCTAGGTGCGGCTGGAGCAAAACGTCTTTCCCCTAATACAGACTGCACAACAAACCTGCAGCCCCTTCTGTCTGTCAGAAATCCTGTCCATGATGCCAATTTAGATGTCATGATTCGCTAATGCAAGTGGGGCTTGTAATAAAGAATTGGGTAAATAAAAATTCGGAATAAGAAGTTTAAATAAAGTATGTATAATTATAACTAAATGTAAGTATGGAATAAGGAATTCTCCTCCCGGTCGAGATAGAATTCCTTTTCCAAAAAAACCACGAATTGCAAAAGAACCCCCCCCAGATAACAGGTTTCAGCAGACTCATCAACTCGGAGGAAAAGACAGGACACAGGCCATCACAGAAACAAAAGAACCAGCCTAAAAGTCTACCTCCAGAGAAAGGCAACGCCCGGCCGATTTCGGCCGGAGACCATCAAGCAAGACAAAAGGGGACGAGCCCCAGGAAGATGGTCGTTGCCAGAATCGAACACCACACCTGCCAAACCCATACTACAGAAACTCAATCAAGAAAGACAAAGAAGAGACTACTCCTCTGAGATATCCATCGGCACCAGCCCGGATCTCTCAATCCCGCTGTGATGAAATATGTTAAAATACATACAGACTCACTTTACATTTGAGGAGACTCTGCCCGGATACTTACTGACTCAATGTTCTAGGCCAGGAAATCCATTCACCCGACAATCAGGGACATTTGGTGAATGGAAACTGGTTGGAATTCTAGCCTGGGGACATAAAATCCCTATAAAAACACAGGCCATGGGACCCTCAGACGTGGATTTGGGAACACCTATACCTTGCGTATAGACCCTGTCCACCCAGCGCTGCGCTGTCCATTTATTGTGGTTTTTTTTCCTCACTGTTTGTTGCTTTATTAATTTATAATAAATTAATCTTTGTTAATCTTTAATTTGCCGTTGCATTTATAACAGGGCTCATGAGAGGTTCGTTTGATCTCAGAGTGCAAAAGGACACAAAGGGATTTCAGTTTAAATCACAACAACAATAATGTACCTTTATTTTAGTGCCAACAACAAGGGTTATGCGATAGAGGAGAGAGAGAGAGAGAGAAATAAGGAAGGCAAAGTAAAGAAAGAGAGAAGAGGTTATAGCTACTAACAGACGAGACGGGGCTGCTGGGGTCTTTTTCTGTGGGAGATCTGGCCGAAATTATCTTAGTCTTATGTAATTCTTCCCCAAAGTTACCTTGTTTCCAATGTGCTAATAAGTACCCCAAAGGAGAAGTACCTGGTATGGGAGCATAGCAGCCCAAAACCCTGCTCCATATTATAATATACCACAAATGCCGAACCTGCAACGCTTTCGCAGTCGTCTTACGGACGGCGCCTAGGCTTTACCAAGAGGAATTCCTTTAGCCCAACCACGCGCAGCTTTCGCCGCGTCTAACTGGCAGGCATCAAAACCAAAGTAAAGAACCTTACCTTTCTCTCCCGGGGATGTTGTGAGCAGCAGAGACGGTCACGGCTGATGGGCTCCCCGAGAATCCCTTGGTGCCGGCTGGAGCATGATCGGGTCACGAGTTCGCTTAGCAGCACTCACAAGGTCCCATCTGGGGTTGCCAAGATGTTAGCGTTCAGGAACACACATAACCACGAATGGTTATATGAAGGTGCTTTATTTAAAGAGCTCTGGGTGTCAGGGGTACACATACCCAAATCTGACCCGACTTGGGTTTCGAGTTAAACATATTTTATACTCTATCATTATGCAACTTACATATTAATTATTAAACTTACATTGTTCTATTGTATACATTGTTTTTACCCAAGCATGAATTTCTCCCCCCTTAGCCCCTTAACATGGTTCCCCATGTTCTCTAAACAATAATTATATCTAATCACATCTAACAATTGTATCATTTATCATATACTGACTACACAAGTGCAGTTTGACCTGGTCTTTAGCAAGCACAAGGCCTAACATTTCCAGGGCCTGCTTTTCCCAGGGCTTTCCAAACCTAACTTTCTTTCTAAGTCCCTGAATTTTCTAAGATTTTAAGGCCTTTTACTGTCAAGGATGGCCCAGGGGCTCAGCATTCCCCCATGACTGCTCTGAGAGTGTCACAGCAGAGATGACACAGGGAGGCATGCTGCCATAGGATTTTAGCCTTTATGTTTATCAACTCCTGTAATGCATTAATGCATAACTCTCAACTCCATATAAAGTGTTAGTTAACTGTCTTCACATTTGGGAAAGAAAAAACAATCCCTCTAGGATGGAAATTCAAGGACACCCTACTGCCTCAGGCCCTGAAAAGTATAAACAAGAGTGAATTGAGGGGGAGCAAAGTGGGGGTAAATGACTTCACTACCTGAAGCTGTAATTGGAGCATTGACCCTGATAAGTAAATGGAACAAACTTATATTGCCGTGGTGACGGAGGGGGCTGGAGCGCTGTGACTTCACTGGAGAAACAGCCTGAAAAGAGCTGGCCCGAAGCGCGTGTGCGTCTTCGGGTAGGCGAGAGATTCCAGCTCGGTTCTTGCGGCTCGGCTCAGTGGCGGTGCGCAGGCATCACGGGAAGAAGGGATGAGAGAGCTGTTCTGGCATTCCGCCAAGCACTAGCCTTCATTCAGGCAGGGCTTTTAGCGAAGAGAGCCGGTGACAGCTATTCTGCCAAAGAGGGGAAAACTCGGGGTATTTATAGGGAGAGAGAGGGCGGGGGGAGACCGGGATACATGTATAGGGGTGGGACGGCAGGGGGGAACAACAATGGAGCACAACAGTTTAACATAACTAACTCAAAGGTCCCTGGGAGCGATACACTCTCTCTCTCTTACAGCGAAGTGTCTTGTCTCCAGGGTAAAGCCAGGATCTCGGAACTGGCGGGCTCCTCCACCCCCACAACTCCCCCTTCTTTACTTATTAAAAAGGCATCACCTAGAGAGTTAGTTTATTGCTTCTTAAAACATGAAAACATACCTAGGAAAATAATAACAGTTAGGTAAACCCAGAAAATGTTTTTGAGGAGAGAGGCAACCCATCTTTTGAGTCCCCAGCTCACAAAAAGGTCTTCAAGCCACTGGGGCTCCTTTTCAGTCTTGAGTTCCTGGACCGCGTCTTGGAGTCTTTGGATGCAGGCGTGGATGCCTTCACTGTGGCTGGAGAGGTTAAAGCAGCACAGTCCATCAAACTTCTCCCAGCCGTGTCCATGGGCCAGGAGCAAAAAGTCGATGGCAGCTCAGTTTTGTAGCGTGGCATGCCTAACAGTCTCTTCATCTGTCAAGAGGTCGCTCAGGACAGAGGAGGTCAGGTTGGCCTGCTTACCAAGCCAACACTCCAGGTGAGAAAGCTCACCGCAGGCTTTAGCAGCAGCTGCCCACTGCAAAAATGCTGACATCACCACCTTCTTTGGGTAGGACCGATCTTTAATTTGGCTATTGCAATTTTCATCTAATTGAGTGAGATCTCACTTTTGGCAGGCCAATTCATTCTTTTTCAGCCAATCATGTATTAGAGTTGAATTTGGAGTGAGGATGGTAAGCTGTCCAAGCATGCAAGGACCTTTCCAGAGTCAGGAAGGGATTCCTGCCCACACTCTATCCCCACAAATTAAGAACACTCCCCGGGGCAGCACTCTGGGATAGTGAGAGGAGGCGGATCGTGTGCTGCTGGTGTAATTGCACCATTTGAACCGATTGTAAATTTTACTGTTGGGACTCACATTTTTCCTTGATTTAATTGCCTTGTGGTATTTTGAGGCAGGCCATGCATTGGCTACTGGGTGATAATTAAAATTTATGCAATAGGTAGCTTTGGAGGACCCCAAAAGCTCCAATTCCTGGGGTTCCTCTGGTGCATGGGGTAAGATATTTGTCCACTTGTCCCAAATGTCTACTGGGTTGGGTTCTTTCCCTATGAAAGGGCATTCGTGGGACGTCAAAGGAATCCCCACCAGGCAGGATGAGAGAGGGTTGGTGGCGCTGCCCATGGAGAAGCACATGTGTTCTTGTTTGAGCTTCTTTGCGAGGGTGATCCACACGTTCTCCTGGGGCTGTGCTACTAGCAAGGCATCCACAGCTAATGTTTTCAGGAGCATCCTGATAATCAGGAACATCAGGAACCCAAGGATGGTTTTGCTCTCCATTTTATGACAGGACATAAAAGATTAGCTCTTAATTTTGGAGGGGGGGAGCTATTTTCTTTTTCTCCTTCCTCTCCCATCTCCTCCCTCTTTAAAAAAACCAATTATAAGCAGGGTTATTCTGTGTATTGGGGACACATGACCCAACAGCAGCAGCAGTACTGAGGTGCATTTTGGTGTAAACTGGCAATTTGGGCTAGGCAACGAGGGCAAGAAGGGGAAGGGAGAGAGGGGAAAGGGAGGGGAAGGGAGTTAAGAAGACTTGTGTAATGTCATGGTGACAAGCGTGACGTTGGCTGTTGTCTTGTTGCGGCCCTGGTAGCAGGACGGTTTGGCTTCTGTCTGGTTGTTGGTCTGGTGGCAGGTCAGTTCGGTGGACTCCAACAACGTCTCTGTTTCCAGGTTGCGGTGGACTACTGTTTTTCTGGACCTGTGTGGGTCTCAGGAAACTTTGAAAGTTCTGAGACTGATGCAGGGTATGTAGGGCCTAAATAAGGTTTTACATTTTCCCCTGGCAGCCATTTAGGTCCTGATGATGTGGACACACAAGCGTACCCTCTCCCCCAGGTAATCAATGGGAAAGGTTCTGATGTCAGTTGTGATTCAGGATCCTTGATCAGCACCGGCGGCTTCTCAGTGAGTTTGGCATGGGTCGAATTGGAGCAGTGCTGTATTACAGGGGGGTCAGGCTCTGTAGATGAACAGTTTAGAAAATTCATGACATACAGAGCTTTTCAGAGCCTCTCAAAGGGAGGAATGATCTCTGTTCCTCCCCACTGGTGATCAAAGACTTTTTTCAGGTTTTGGTGGGTCCTCTCCACAATTGATTGCCCTGTAGGGGAATGAGGAATGCCCATGGGGTGTTTCACTCCCCACTGATTGAAAAAGTCTCTTAATCTGTGAGAGGTGTAAGCGGATCCATTGTCTGCTTTAATTTGTTCCGGGAGTCCCAGGGTAGCAAACGCAAGGAGAAAATGTTGGATGGTATGCTTGGCATTTTCTCCTGAGTGGGCTGAGGCAAACACTGCACCAGAGAAGGTGTGCACTGAGACGTGTACATAGTTAACTCTCCCGAAGGACGGGACGTGAGTGACATCAGTTTGCCATATCTGGCAGCTGTTAAGTCCTCAGGGGTTAACCCCGCAGTTAATGGCTGGTATCTGGAATGATTGGCAATTGGGACAGGTGGCAACTATTGCCCTAGCCTGGTCCCTGGGTAGTCTGAACATTCTAATCAGTGCAGGCACGTTTTGGTGGAAGAACTGGTGGGACAATTTCGCTTGCGCAGAAATGTCAAGGACAATGGCTGCTCCAGAAGGCATGGCTAAGGCGTCTGCCCTCCCGTTTCCTTCGGCAACGGCACCTGGAAGGTCAGTGTGCGCCCTCACATGCATGACATAGTATGGTTGCTTTCTGTGGGAGATAAAGTATATTAATTCAGAAAGCAATTTGTATAAGTTTGGGTTAAGAGACCTCTTCCAGAAATGCGTGTTCTGCTCTCCTAGCTATTCGAGCCACATAAGCCGAATCAGTCACCAGATTGAAATTGGAATTTCTCAAAAGCTCTGAGGATGGCTGCTAATTCAGCAATCTGTGGTGATCCCTCAACCACTTGGACATCAGACTCCCACTTCTGCGTCTTTGCCTCCTTCCAAGTCATGACTGACTTGTGGGATTTCCCCGAGCTGTCTGTAAAAAATGGCAGAGCCTTGAGCGGTGTTTTGCTCTCAAGTAATTTGGGAACCAGATTAAATGTGGTTTTGAAAAGTCTGTGGCCAGGTGGATGGATAGAAATTTGGCCTGAATAGCTATCGAGAGTGAACTGAAGGCTCTCATTGGTTTGGAGCAAAGGCTCCAAATCTCCAGTTGTCAGTGGGAGGAAGATGCATGCGAACTCACAACCGGCAAGAGTGCGGTGATGGGCTCTAGCTCTTTTAATGAGTTCAGCCATGATTTCCTGCGGAGTGGTAAAGGTCTTAGTAGGTTGGTTATGTGTAAAGATCCACTCGATGATAAGGAGACGATCCTTCAATGCCATGTCCCATTGAAAAACGAGTGCGTGTAAGCGCGGGGCCTTCCCCAGGATAACCAGTTGGAAGGGCAGGCCGGGCTCATAGCGGTGGGCTTGCCATGAAGACAGGACCTCCTGGACCTTGGTGATGGATTCCCGGGCCTCCAGCGTGAGGGAGCGTGGTGAACCGAGGGCCTCGCTGCCATGGAGCAGGTTGAATAGGGGCGCAAGGACTTCCGTCGTTACCCCAAGCTGAGGGCGTACCCAGTTGATGGACCTGCAGAGCTGATGTAAGTCCCGCAGGATCTTGGGGTCGTCTCTGATGGTCAGCTGCTGGGGTACGACGGTCCGCTCACGAATCCGCAGTCCCAGGTAGGTCCAAGGGCAGGTGTGCTGGATCTTGTCTTCACGGATTTCAAACCCCGCGTCCTCAATTGTCTGGATAGTTTTTTGTAAAGTCCGGTGCAGACAGTCGTCGTCAGCAGCACAAACCAGGATGTCATCCATGTAATGGAGGATGATGGCATCTGGGAACAGGGCCCTCACAGGTGACAGGATGTGGGCTGCGTGCCTTTGGCAGATGGTGGATGAATGTTTCATCCCTTGTGGGAGGACTAGCCAATGGTACATCAGGACAGCAGCTCTACTCGAACAGGGGAAAAACTGGGGTATTTGTAGGGGAGGAGGGGGTGGGGGGGAAACTGGGATACATGTATTGGGGTGGAATGGCAGGGGAGAGCACCAATGGAGTGTAACAGTTTAACATAACTAACTCCAAGGTTTCTGGGAGTGTCTCTTGGGCACCTGGAGCATGAGTTGTGCATTCTTTGTCTCCCCATCCACAACCATCACATTTCACACACCCACTCCTTCCCAAAGCTCCTTGCGGACAGCATCTGCTACAGACACATCCCCCGCTGCCATCCCTTGGCCAGGGGCCTCGTGGCTCATGCCAGACCCTTCTTCCTCCCGAGGAAGCCTCCTCCCAGTAAGGGGGGAGCCCCCCCCAGCCCAGGATTCTCCAGCTCAGCCCCCCTAGAGCCAGGCCTCCTTCGGAGCCCCACATGCCCTGAGCCAAGTGGGGATTGGTGGCCATCTTGGCCACAGCAACCACAAATAAATTTAGGTTCAAACATAGGACAAGAGAGAAAGGGCCAGCAAAACCTCAGCTCGGGGCATGAGGAGAGCAGACTTCAGGCTGCTCAGGGAACTGGTACGCAAGGTCCCTGGGAAAAATGTTATTGAGGGTGCTGGGCTCCATCATTGCTGGTCACTTTGGAAACATCACCTCCTAAGGGCAGAGGAGCAGGCGATTCCCAAATGTTGGAACCCAAGCAGGCAAGGCAGAAGGCTGGCTTACCTGAACAGGCAGCTTCTCTGGGAAAGAGGATGGAAAAAGAAGTTGTGTGCCCAGTGGGAGTGAGGTCAAGAGAATACACAGATGTTTCTTGCCACTGTACGGAGAAATTTGGTATGCTGAAAGCTCGGCTGGAGATGAAGGTGGCTAGAAATATGGGACACAATAAAAAGTGTTCTAAAATACATTAATGGAAAAAAAAACATTGTAGAAATAACATTGTCCCCTTCTAGGGTGTGGAAGGTCGCCTCACAAACAGGGACAGAGGCACGGTACAGGGGTTTAGTGCATTCTGTGCCTCTGTCTTCAACACTCATCCTTCCCTTCCCAGTGGAAAACATTGCATTGTACCAAGGGACACTGCAAAGTCCTTGAAGAGGGTAAGTCCTGCTCAGTGGAAAGCAAACCACCCCTGTTTGATCCACAGCATTCCCATCCAAACTCAACATGTGACAGCTATTGGGAAGAAAGACACCTTATCCCAGTCAAAACCAGAGCAGTGGAAGCACCATGAGCACTCCTTGGCAAATCCTGATTTATTTATAACAGAGGCACTGCAGAAGTCAGTGAGCTGCTAGGAAAAAACTCTTCCTGCCCTCAACAGCCCGTTCAGGAGAGCTCCCCAGAGACAGAGGAACTTCAACTCCCTTTGTCTCTGGACAGAGGTTTCCTGGAAATATGCTCCTTGCAGATGCATATTGCTGTGGGCCTTGCTGCATATCACTATAATCTTGTCAGAGAAGGTTTCTAGGAAATATGCTAGGATTCTTATTAGACGAGATTATAACTTTAGCACAAATTTATTTATTCTATGTATTACAGCAGTCACTGCTCAGGGGCATTGGAAAAGGGATAATTATCACTCCCAGCTCAGCCTCCAGACCAGGCCTGACACACAGAGCTCTCACCATCCCCTCACAGTGGGGTCCTGGCTCTCACCATCCCCTCACAGTGGGGTCCTGGCTGGAAGGATCACAGTTCAGGTCAGGTCTTCAGGTAGAGGCTTGGAGAGCCATGCAGGGCACAAGACGGTCAGCAGCCCTCATAAAAGGGAAGAAAAATGAAAGAACAGGTGCATTTATGAAAAAATCAATTTCCCCCCCAAAGCCTGTTTTGGTAGGTGGAGTGAGGTGCCCTTCCAGTCAGGACCCCACTGTGAGGGGATGGTGAGAGCTCTGTGTGTCAGGCCTGGTCTGGAGTTTTGGTGCTTACAGAAGCACAGCTTTGGTAGCAGAGGAACATCTCTGCTCCTGCCACCCGCTGGCCCTTGGAATGCACACACAGCCCTAGTTTCATTTCCGGAGACACCAAGAAGCCTGACAGTCTGAAAGGGCAGCTGTTGTTTCACTGTTGCAATTCTTGGCTTGTTAAACACCCTCCTAGCTGTACTACAGCCTGTGCTTGAAGACACAAAAGTACCATCGTGGAAGAAATTGCTTGACAAAAAAAGCTTGACAAAGGCTGAAGGGATTGCCTTTGATTACCCCTTTTCCCAAGAGGTCTCTTGAGCTGAAGTTGCTAACAAGGACCAGACTTGACAGCCTAGAATGGGTTCATGGTTTTATTTTTTGGGTCCTCAGTCCTGCATGGGATTCAGTGAGTGGGTGCTGCAGAGGCTCCAGCAAGGCATCAGAAACACCTGCCCCGCACCCAAGGGTGGCGCAAGATCTCCTCCAGTGGCGCAAGATCTCCTCCAGCTCTGGCCTGTCCGCGGGGTGCTTGGACAAACACCAGCGGATCAGATGTTGGCACTCTGGGGAGAGAAGCCAGAAAGTGCTGGTCATTTTCAGAAGGCTCAGCTGCTCACAGCGCCCACGGGGCCCAGGCCGTGCTGCGTGTGCTCAGAGCTGCGCCAGCCTCCCAGCCGCCTCTGCCCTGTGTGGGAGAGTGGCACGGTGGGACACATCCAGCTCCTTCAGTTGCACGGGCCACCTCCTGCAGCCAGCTCTTGAGGGCAGATGGATGTCCTGTGGAGCTGTGTGAGGGCCATGCTGGGCTGCATGCTGCCATCTGCAAAAGTCTGCCTTCTTGAGGCCAGATACCAACCTGGAGAGACTTGCTGCCTGAAGAAGGGCTGCCCGAACATGATGTCACGGTCCTCCTGGAAGGGATGGTTTCCACAGACCATGACATACAGCAGCACGCCCAGGGACCAGATGGTCGCTGAATGGCCATGGTAGCAGCCAAGGTGAATCCACTCGGGTGGGCTGTACGCGCGTGTTCCTAGGGGAGATGGGAGAAGGCGCTGTCCAGACACAGGCTGCTGGCTTTCAGCGCCTGGTGCCCGCCTCCTGGCAGAGGCAGGTGTCGCTCCGATTGGGAACGGCGATAAAGAACGACAATGGACTCTCAAGGGAGTCACAACACGAGAATTCCTAGTTTATTGCTTCAGCCCTGTCTTATAGACAGATACGTGGAAAGTACAGAAAAGAAACTCTTATTGGTTAACAAAGTACTACATCACCATCATTGGTCAGGGGGGCCCATCACCCCCCCTGGCCTTCTCCTGCAAGAGAAAACAAGACTGCAAAACAACACCTGCAAGGCTGTTTAGTATCTCTGAGAATTGTTTTAATTCCTTCTCATGAATTTCTCAGGCTAGCCCTCAGTCAGGCCTGAGAGCTATGTGGCCTGTAATAACTACAGGCACTCTGGTTCAGATTTAGCATCCATAGGCAGGAGCTGCACCGGTGGACACAACTCCTCCCCAAGGCCACCCCACATCCCCCAGCCAAGTGGCCAAAGCCAAGAAACCATTCTGCAAGGCAAAGAAGGCCAGCGGAGCAGCCCGAGACCTTGTGGGCCTGCTAAGCTGAGGGGCCAGGACCTGGCTTTTGCAGCTCCCCCCGTCGGCAGGGCCAGCAGCTATGGATGCTAAATCTGAACCACAGTGCCTGTACAAATTGCAGGCCGCATGGCTCCTCAGGCTGCCTGAGAAAGTATCCTGGGAAAAATATGAGAAGGAATTAAAACAATTCTCAGTGGGGCCGTGCAGTGCCTGGCACTGGGAGCAGGGCCCGGGCTGTGGGCTCACCAGCAAATTGCGTGAAGGCGCGCTCCTGGAGAAAGGTGCCGCAACCGAAGTCAATGAGCTTCAGGTGGCCGCTCTCCAGGTCCAGGAGGAGGTTCTCTGGCTTGATGTCTCGGTGCAGGACGCCGCAGGCAGTGCAGTGCCGCACGGCCTCCAGCACCTGGCAGAAAAGCCAGCGTGCCATCTCCTCACACAGGAACCCCTGCTCCAGCAGGAAGTGCAGGAGATCCTGCGATGGCTCCGGACGCTCCATCACCAGCAGGAAGCTGTCAGGCAGCTCAAACCAGTCCAGGAGCTGGATGATGTTGTGGCAGCCAGAGCCCACCTTCTCCAAGAGCACGATCTCCACGGGAACACGGGTGCCATCGGGCTGTGAGGAAGAGACGATGCCTCCAGCACGCCTGATGCTGCCCTGTGGCTGTTCTGCCTCCTGCCTGGGATGCCCCAGTGCCCTCTTGGGCAGACTCCCTGCTGCTTGGCATTCCTCCTGCCCAGGGGTTGCTTGGAGGTGCCCCCTGCCCGGCCCTACTGTCGATGTTTGGCATCTCTGGGCCCACAATGCCCCGGCTTGCAACCTGAGCCCATGCCCGCTCCCCCAGCCATCTACCGCCTCCCACTCCTGACACCCTGGGCTTATCCCTGCCAGCCGTGCCCCGCTCTGTCCTGCTGGCCCCGCTCACACACCAGCTCGTCCCACTGCAGGACGCTGTCCCGAGCCACGCGTTTGATAGCCACCTGCAAGCCATTGAGAGAGAGAGGCTTAGCTCAAGTCCTGCCCCTCCCCATCCCTCATCCTCCTCGCACACCCGGCCATCATGGCCACTCACAGGGCTCCCATCCGAGAGGCGGATGCCTGAGAACACGGTGCCAAATCCACCACTCCCCAGCTGCGGACCCAGCTGGTACAGCTCCTGCAGCTTCTTCTTTTGCTCTGCGACCAAGACCGAGCCATCACCCTCATGCCCAGGAACCTCCCCAAATGCCCGCGAGTGCAGCGGGCCGGGCCAGTGTGGGTCATGTTGCTCTGACCTGCTTCCTGCTGCCTGCCGAGCAGTGGCCACTGCCTTGCAGCCGTCAGGCTGTTGAGCAGCAGAGCTGGCACAGCAGAGCACGCAGAGGCTGCAGGAGCCGGAGTGCAGTGTGGCTGGATGGCACCATCACTGTCACTGTCCCCGGCGTTGTGGGCTGGACTCTGCTGTTGAGAACGGCCGGGGCTACAGCCCAAGGCTTTGCACAGGGGGGTCCCAGGAGCAGCTGCAAAGCAGACAGGTTTTTGAAGCCATCAGAGGCACTGGAAACAGCCAGGGATTGGGCTGCTCTCAGGGGCCATGGCCTGGCCTGGGGTGTCCCTCAAGAGCAATGGGCGAGCCTCAGACAGCTCCTCAGGAGATCTCACCTGCTCTTAGAAAGGCCTTTGTGGTAGTCAAGGGCTTTCTTGGGGCAGCTTCCTGGAGATGGAGGAACCTCCTTGGTGTCTTGAGGGTCGTCTCCACCACCAGGCTTGGGCTGTTGGCAGCTGGCACAACTTGCCCAGAGTTCTGGGAGCAGTGGGATGACAACTGCTGCTCCCAGGATGCTTGCTGCTTTGCCAGCAGCTCCTGAGAAGGCTCCCCTGGATTGGGCTGGGCTCCCACTTGGACTTCTGGGCTTTCCCTGGCCACGTCAATGGTCAGGCTTGTACCCTTATTGTTGAAGTCTGGGAGTCCAGGGGAGCTGGGAGAACTGTCCGTGTTATACAGCGACAACACAATGATGTCACAGTGTTGTGGCCAGGACAACTGTGGGACATCACAGCCCTGCCTCATGCCAGCTCTCAGGCCCTTTGTGCCGTCACAGCCCCGCCCGCCTCAGGCATCAGCAGAACTGGCTCATCTCTGAAGATGGACGTGGCCAGAAAAAGCCTGGAGATAAGAACGGGAGCTCAGTCCATTGCAATGAATCATTCCCTGGACCAAATGGTGGCACATCAGGAAGGGTGCTGGTGCCAGCAGTGTCAACCCCACAGCTCCCAAGATGCTGCCGCACTACCAGCTGGGACCAAACACTACTCTGTGCCTGAAAAAATCCTCCAGAAACTTCCAGAAATGCGTGTTCTGCTCTCCTAGCTGTTCCAGCCACATAAGCCGAATCAGTCACCAGATTGGAAGGTTCTTGGAATTTCTCAAAAGCTCTGAGGATGGCTGCTATTTCAGCAATCTGTGGTGATCCCTCAACCGCTTAGACATCAGACTCTCACTTCTGTGTCCTGGGGTCCTTCCAAGTCATGACTGACTTGTGGGATTTCCCCGAGCCATCTGTAAAAAAAACCCAGTTGATGGTCCTGCAGAGCTGATGTAAATCCTGCAGTATCTTGGGGTCGTCTCTGATGGTCAGCTGCTGGGGTACGACGGTCCGCTCACAAATCCGCAGTCCCAGGTAGGTCCAAGGGCAGGTGTGCTGGATCTTGTCTTCATGGATTTCAAACCCCGCGTCCTCAATTGTCTGGATAGTTTTTTGTAAAGTCCGGTGCAGACAGTCATCGTCAGCAGCACAAACCAGGATGTCATCCATGTAATGGAGGATGATGGCATCTGGGAACAGGGCCATCACAGGTGACAGAATGTGGGCTACATACCACTGGCAGATGGTGGGCCAATTTTTCATCCCTTGCGGGAGGACCAGCCAATGGTACCCCTTTAAAGGTGCTTTTGTCTTTGGCGAGGAAACCGAGAATGCAAATATGGGGGCGTCTCGAGTATGGGGAGATATGTGGAAAAAACAGTCCTTGATGTCAATGATGGCCAGCTTCCAATCCCGAGGGAGCATTGAAGGGGAGGGCATACCAGGCTGAAGGGATCCCATATCTTCAATGACATCGTTGATCTTCCGGAGGTCATGAAGGAGTCTCCACCTGTCCTTGCCTCGTTTGCATAGAACAAAGACGGGGGAGTTCCAAGGGCTGTTGGACTCAGTGATGTGACCCTTGGCAAGCTGCTGTTCCACGAGGGCTTCCAGTGGGCACAATTTTGTCTCAGATAGGTGCCACTGAGCAACCCACACTGGATGGTGCTGTTTCCAGGTGAGTTGGGGGATGGTAGGCATGGCGCGCTTCTCAGTGGCCCCCACTAAAAACCCCTGCTGGGAATCCGCAGAGAAGCCCCCCATTAGGACAGGAGATCCCATCCCCAGAGGGTGATTGGTGCTCTTGCCACAAATGGCCTGATGGTCACCATTTTCCCCTCGGGTCCTTCGATGACAACATTCCGCTTGCTCCTCATTGAAGCTGTCATCCCTCCCATTCCCGAAATCATGCCTGCCACAGGTTGTAACTCCCAACTGTCTGGCCACTCGGAGCAGGCGATGATGGTGACATCCGCTCCGGTGTCCAGCATTCCTGGGTTCTGGATTTTTTCCCCTTTGCAAAATGGGCTGCAGTCCAGAATGGGTTTGCTGGAGCCCACAACCTGAGTTCACATAGCGCTGAGGTTGAGGGAACCTGATCTGGGCAGTCACTAGGAAGCAAAAAGGCCTGTGCCACGGGAGTCTGTTCCTTTAAATAATAAGGCGGGTCTATGCAGGTCAGGAAGATGGAAATTTCATCTCCAGGGTATATAGTTTGAACCTCAGGAAGGGTATGAATTTGTCCTGGAGAGTTGGTAGGATCACCAAGTATTAAGATGTTGGAGGGACTGCCTGGTGGTCCACGTTTCCCTGTGGGGATTTTGTAAATACAGTCACCCTTCATATGTAAAGAGAGTCTAGTTACCAGTTGACGCCGGGTTCCCATCTGAAGCGCTCCACCTGCTGGGCTTGATATCGGGGTCCCCGTGAAGGCAGGATGGTGGATTTGGCAGGAGGGATGGAGCGGGGCGGCATTTGATTTGATGTGGGAGCACAGGGCCATTCCGCGCTCTGCCTGAAGTTTCCCGAACGCCAATTTGGTCTGGGTAACCGTTGGTGGGCAGGTGGTTGTATAAAATGTCTCTCCGGACAGTCCTTGAAGAAATGTCCAGGTTTGCCACAGTTAAAACAACAATTTCTATTGGGGTCTGCAGCATAAGCTCCAGATATCCCCTCTGCCACTCCTTTAGCCAATGCAAGTGCCACTGTATTCTCACTTGAGGCGGAGGAGTGCTTGGTGCAGGCTTCAACCATCTGATCTATGGTTGATTCGGGGTCCGGTGGAAGGGCCCGTAAGACTGCGTTGCGCACACACAATTGGCATTGGCCATTGCTATTTTTACTAATAATTCCTTTTGCACCTGAGGGCTCTCTATTTGCTTTTCAATGGCCACTTTTAACTTATCAATATACTTAATAAAAGACTCAGTTGCCCCTTGCTTAATATTGATGAAGCACTGCATTGCCACTTTGTTATCAGGGGTGGTAAAAAGAGATATCTTGGCAGCATTGGCAATATCCTGTAAGGCTGCTTCAGGCAGATCCCAAGCCTGATCTCGGGGCTTTTGGAAGTCATCTTCTCCTGCCAGTTGCTCCAAAGTAAAATTAGGTCGGTTGGCATCTTTAGCATAAACCTCTGCCAATTGCTTTAAATGTTTTTTCCGCTGCCTCTCCCATAATATGTACTCTGCTGGGGAGAGAAGGCAGTTCATAATCTTTTTGATGTCATGGGGGAACATGACGTGGGCAGTGAAGGAGGCTACCAGCAAGTGTTTGGAAAAATGTGAGCCCCAGTCATGTTCTTCAGCAGCCTTCCAAAGTTCCTGCAATTCCCTATAGTGAAGGGACTCCCAGGCAGCAACTTGTGCCCCTGCCCTGTCTCTCCTCATTATTACACGAAAGGCAAGTATTTCCCGGAACAGAGCTGAGTTCCCCGCCCGTGTGGCTTCCCTCTGCACCTCAGCCCAGTGGTCTTCATATTCAGAATGTGAATAAGTAGATTCACTGCTCTCATCTCCTAGTGGAGATGGGGAGCACTTGATGATAGCGCGGGGCTGGCTCGGGTGCCTAGGTTTGGCCCCTTTGTGATTCATGGTCCCGGGGTGTTGGGACCTTGGAGTGGGCGTGTCGTTGGGGGCGGGGCCCTGGCGTGAAGGGGCAGGGCCGGGGTCCATGATGGGGAGGGGTTTCCCGATGGATGGGGCGGGGCTCGACGCATTTACACCCAACTACACAGTGGGAGAGGAGGAGGAGCAGGGCACAGCAGGAAGAGAAGGGGTAGAGGCAGGAAAGTGGCCATTTTGGGCTTTGAGGGCGGGAAAACCAGAGTGTGAGTGGGACAAAATGGCGGGGCTGGCCATGCTGCCGGCGCCATCTGTGCTAACGCTCGGAACTGGGGGAGACACAACCGGGTGTGAGGGCATAGGAGAGAGGGTAGAGGAAAGACCCAGAGCAGCATGGCTTTTGCCGCCCTGGTAAGGGTAGAGAGACGGTGGCGGGGTGTCAGGGAGACAGCAGCAACCCTGTGCCTGGAGGCTACGTCCACCCTCCGACTGCCCCTCAGATAGTGATGAGGGGTTAGGGGCACTAGGTGAGGTTGATGGGGATGGGGGGTTCAACTGGGGACCCAAAACTCCCTCTTCTTTTTCCCCTCTTTTTACAATGAGAATATAATATTTTGAAACACAGGAAAAAATTTTGCAACAGAAAGGTTTCCCTTTGCTTGAACGGTATATAATTTTCTCCCCACATTATCCCAAAAAATTCTCTATTTAGCAGAATCTGCATTTATCTTAAAATGTTTTAAAACCCAATTAATAAATCTCTTTAAATCCCCTTTAGAAAACTTAAAATTTCCCCCTTTTACGGTGCTTACAACTTGGATGTAAAAGTCCCCCTCAGGTGGCGTCAGCCTCGATGTGGAGGACTGATTTCCCATCCTTTTTCACTCCCCGCCCAGCAGTAAAACAGCAGAGAAAAAGGAAAAAGCCCAAAAAACCCCTTCACGGGATCGACTTACAATTTCTCTTTGGCAGATGCCAGTGGGCAAACAAAAAGCTGCTGGGTGGGTGGTCACCTGGGCAGCTGGGCCTCAGGGGCTTTTTTTCTTTGTCCAGAGTGGTCAGCGAGGGTCCCGGACACAGCCTCGTGGATAGCCTCTTGCTACAGTGCAAGGAGGCTTCCTCGAGGGGCGGCGGCTCGAACCAGTGACTCGCTCCACAGTTAAAGCTGCAGGCGGACGCTTCTTCAGGGCTTTGTTCAAATGCCCCGCGGTCAGCGCCAGTTGCTGTGGCAATGGAGGGGGCCAGAGGACCGCGACTTCACTGGAGAAACAGCCCTGAAAAGGGCTGGCCCGAAGCGCGTGTGCGTCTTCGAGTAGGTGAGTGATTCCAGCCTGGTTCTTGTGGCTCGGCTCAGTGGCAGTGCGCAGGCAACATGGGAAGAAGGGACGAGAGAGCTGTTCTGGCATTCCACTAAGCACTAGCCTTTATTCAGGCAGGGCTTTTAGCCAAAGGAGCTTGCGACAGCTACTCCGCCAAAGAGGGGAAAACTCGGGGTATCTATAAGGAGAGAGAGGGGCAGGGGGAGACCGGGATACATGTATCAGGGTGGGACAGAAGGAGGGAACACCAATGGAGCACAACAGTTTAACATAACTAACTCAAAGACCCCTGGGAGTGTTACACTCTCTCTCTCTTGCAGAGAAGTGTCTTGTCTCCAGGGTAAAGCCAAGATCTCGGGACAGGCGGGCTCCTCTACCCCCACATTATATGTCTGAAAAACTTATGACCATTGTCCATTTTGAGTGGAGCCCCTCTCAGAGGCTTTGACTGCCCAAGCTGTACCTTTTGAAGGCCTTTAATAAATACCTGCTTTTATTCTCTTTACCTTGTCTAGCCTCTCTTCTAGGTAGCCACTCCAAGACATCAGGCAGACAGGGCTGGAGGGGGTTGGAGGGGGTCTGGATGCTGCCAATCCCAAATCTCCCCACTGGACAGCAGCAGAGACCACCAGGCCCTTGAGCCAGGGAGTGGCCTCTGACTGGGAAACCAGTGGGACAAGACAGGAGGGGACGGGACGGGACGGGACGGGACGGGACGGGATGGGATGGGATGGGATGGGACGGGGAATGCGGTGAAGGTGGGGATGAGGAGTAATACCATAATCAGACAGAATAAAGTTATTAACACCATGTTATGGCATTAGCAAGTGAAGCTTTAGGCAGCAGGACACGCAGAAGGATCCATCCTTATTTCTGTGTGTGCTGAGACTTTACAACAGCACTTTTATCCATTATAAACACACATAATCATTCAAAAGTTTTTCTGACCGAGTACACAAACACCATTTTCCTAGAACAAATTTCCATGCATTCACTTCCTACTGGGAGTCCTTTTGTGGTCCTGGAGGTTCATTGAGAGAGGTTTCTGGTGGTTGCATTCACTGAGTATTATGATATTAAAGGTGACCTTGCCTTGAACTTTGCCTTTGGCCATGCGCTGTTGCTCCTTGTCACAGAACTTGCCCCACAAATACTGTGGCCCTCCTTATCCCTTTCTCCATTGGCTCCAGTCACATTTATCACCCTGGCTCCACATCTTTACATCCTTTTATCTTTTTGGCCACTTGGCCTTTGAGCAATTTCAGGGGGGTTGAAAATGTCTGTTCTCTGGTTTTTTATCAATCCGCTACTGACCAGCCCCACCCTCCCTCTCATACTCCACAATTTCCACCTCCCTCCTCCCCTGCACATCTCATTTCTCTCCACTGAATCCTTCCCGCTGCACGGAGCTGCTGATGAGCTGCATGGTCCATCCCTGGATCCTCCAAGCACTGACTCCCACCCACTCTGACCACAACCAGGGGGTCACAACGCACCACCTGCCCAGCGCCCACCCATGAAGGTGAGCACCGTGTTTCCTCATTTTTCCGCACAGACCAATGGACCTGTCCCATGTGAGATCAGTGTCAGTGCAGTGATCATACATATTGTGACACTGCTCATCTGCCTCTGTGGGCTGGCTGGGAATGGGGTTGTCCTCTGGCTCCTCAACATTAATACCATCACCAACTACATCTTCAACCAGGCCACCATGGACTTCCTCTTCCTCATCTTCATGGTCCCTTCCACCCTGCTCTTCCTGCACGAGGAAGTGTCCTGCTCCACTATAATGCCTTGGATGTATTTTAGCTTGCTTTTCCAGCTGTCCCAGTTCTCCTACAACATAGGGCTGTACCGGCTGACATTCATCAGCTTTTACAGGTGCAAATCCATCCTCTGCCTGGTTTTCTGTGGTTGCCAACTTCCCCTGCGCCTGTTGCGGGCGATGAGGACTACCCTGTTCTGGGCCTTCTTCTTTGTTTTCATCTTTGTCAATCCCATGGTGACTTCCCAGTGCCAGTCACAGGAACAGGAGCATTGCCAGGTGGCTCTCCTCTCCATGTATGTTCTCAGCTTCTTCCTGTTTGCTACACCCATGCTCATTTCCAGCATAATTGTCTTCGTTCATTTCAAACGTGGCTCCCAGCAGCGGGAACAGAAGAGGCTCGACATCGTCATCTTCCTCACTGCACTCCTCAGTCTGCCCCTCAGTCTCTTGTATTTACTGCAGCAGCTCGAGTACGTGTTTGTGTCCACCCAGGTGATTTTTCTATTAACCTGCATCAACAGCAGCATCAAACCCTTCATCTACTTCTTGGTGGGGAGCTGGAAGGCAGACTACTCCTTAGAGAGCTGCTGGAGAGACTGCTCCATCGACAACTGCAGGAGTCACATCTCCATGCAGTCCCTAAGGATGGCCCTGCAGAGGGTGTTTGAGGAGCCAGAAGAAAACACTGCTACCAGCAATGAAAACACTGCCTCCAGTAATGAAAACACCTACTCCAGTGATGAAAACACTGCATCCAGTGATGAAAACACTGCCTCCAGCAATGAAAACACTGACCCCAGTGATGACAACACTGCCTTCAGTGATGATGCCATCATGGACACAGCGGTCTGAGCCTGTTGATCCCCTCCGCTGCTCTGCTGAAGGACCCTGGGACAGTGGCTGAGGGATTCCTTGAGTCACCTGATCAATAAATATCCACAGGATCACCCTCCCTGTGCTGGTGCATCCCCCACCCCCTTTTCAGGCCACACTGGACTCTCCTACAGCCTTGTGAGGCCTCAGCCTTGAGGAGCAGGCCCTGGGCTCAGCTCTTCTGGCACTGATCAGAAATGCCCTCTGCTCCCAGGAACTGCTGCTCTCCAACGACCTGCTGAGGTTTTGTGAACAGCCTTGGAAATGATTTTACATCCCTGAATGGCACAACATCCCTGTTCTCACACTTCCACAGGAAGCTGCTGGCCCAAAGTGTGGCCAGGGTGAAACATTGTTGTGACTGAAGCCCATCTCCTGGGGCCCTGTGAACAGCAGTCCAAAAGGAGACCCTTGGAGCTCTGCTGGGCCCCAGCAGCGCTGGCCAGAACCTCCCTCGCACTGGGGCCTCTCCGAGCTGGGACCTCTCCCATTTGCTGCCCTCAGGGATGCCCAAACATCGACAGATCCTAAACCGATCCCTGCACTGCTCCAGGCTCAACCCTTGGCACAGCGAGGAGATGCAAAGGCATCCGGAGTGAGCATTTCACTGCCTCCAAGGGGAATTTCCCACAGGGACCTTGCACTGACTCTTTCTGTCTGGGTGCACACACGTGTGCATCTGCTACAGCAAATGTGGGAGAAATGCTGCTCTCTCAGGTGTTTTAGTACCTGAGACATCTGAGCAAGCCAGACCTGTAAGCGAGGTTAAGTCATGAGATACCATTTCAGCTAAATAGTGTTAAGTGTTATTTCTTTGCTAAATTGTTCATTTTAAGGTACAAAAGCATGAATAGCTGGAAAAGCAGAGACACTGCTCACAGTGCTTGGTGGAGTGGGGCAGGAACAGGGCTCACATAGGGGAAAAGATGGCTCTGGAAAAAGACTGAAAGTTGTCTGGAGGGGTCCAGAAGAGTCAGAGGGTTTAAGAAGGGTCTGGAGGAGGTCAGGAAGGGTCTGGATGCCATTGATTCCAAATGTCCCACCTGGAGAGTAGCAGAACCCAATGAGCAGTGCTTCATGGAGTGGAGCAGCCATGGGATGGGATGGGGTGGGATGGGATGGGATGGGATGGGATGGGATGGGATGGGATGGGATGGGATGGGG